GCTACAAGTGCAAGGAGCCAGGTCATATAAAGCGAGATTGTCCAAAGCTGAAGAAGCAGACTGTGTGATACTTCAATACTTCATCGAAGTCTGTAAATGTTGTGCAGAATGAAAATTCAGATTGCAGTGATGACGATATGTTCTCAGTTTCATCAACTCAGTTCACGGATGCATGGATTCTTGATTCAGGGTGCTCTTATCACATAACACCTAACAGAGAGTGGTTTACTTCATACAGGATAACTAATTCTGGCTCAGTCTATTTGGGTGATGATAGATACTGCAATATAGTTGGTATTAGAGAAGTCAGAATTCAGATGTATGATGACACAGTTAAAACGTTATGTGATGTCAGACATATTCCAGATCTGAAGAAGAATTTGATTTCCGTGGGCACTCTACACAGAAATGGTTTTATTCCAAAGGCTGATGAGGATAGGGAAACCATCAGAATTGTTAAGGGTGCACTGACGGTGATGAAAGGAAAGTTGACTGCAGGTAATATCTACAGACTGTTAGGGAGTACAGTTGTAGGTGGAGTTCATTCTGTGGAGTCAGATAATGACAGTACAAAGCTATGGCATATGCGTCTGGGTCATCTCAGTGAACGTGGGATGGCGGAATTGCATAGAAGAAATCTGCTGCATGGGGTTAAAAGCTGCAAGCTCGATCTTTGTAAGTTTTGTATTCTTGGAAAACAGACTAGAGTCAGTTTTATGACTGGAAAGCACAAAACTGAAGGAATTCTTGACTATGTGCATTTTGATGTATGAGGTCCTACTAGGGAGTTGTCATTGGGAGAATCTCAGTACTTCGTTACCTTTATTGATGATTTTTCCAAAAAAGTTTGGGTGTATTTCTTGAAGCAGAAATCTGAAGTATTCTCTAAATTCAAGCTGTGGAAAGCTGAGGTGGAGAACCAAACTGGCAGAAAGATCAAGTTTTGAGGTCCGATAATGACACAGAGTACAAAGATTCACAGTTTCAAAAGTTCTGTGAGGAGCATGGGATTCAGAGACATTTTTCAGTACGGAAGACACCACAACAGAATGGTGTGGCAGAAAAGATGAATGGGTCCTTAACTGAAAGGGCAAGGTGCTTAAGACTGAATGCAAGGCTTCCTAAGAGTTTCTGGGCAGAGGCTGTGAATATGGCATGCTATCTCATCAATAGATCACCTCGAGCATCATTGGGTGGCAAGGTCGCAGAAGAGGCATGGACAGGTAATCCAGTTAAATTTGATCATTTAAGGATTTTTGGATGTCCTGCTTATGTGCATGTACCTGGAGATGAAAGATCCAAACTTGATGCAAAATCCAAGAAGCGCATCTTTTTGGGCTATAAGAAAGGTGTGAAAGGATACAAGTTTTGGGATCCGATTGCAAAGAAGATGGTGATCAGCAGAGATGCAGTCCTTGATGAGCAGTTAATGTTACAGCAGAATCAAGACAAGGTGTCAGGGAACAGTTCCAGCTCAGATGAGCTCAGATGCAGTGCAGATGGATTTAGAAC